TAATAAGCTTCAACAGTTTTTACTCGAATGATATCAAAATGAAGCAATATACAAAACATTAAAAAATATATTAAGTTATATTGAAAATTTCTTTAAAATCTATGGGAATACAGCGATTTAAATACAACAGTAACTACTAGTATTAAATGCATACATAATGTTAAGAGATTACAAATTTTATGGTATTACATGCTTATGCAAAGCACAATATGATTATTAGCAGTCAGACAACTTTCAGATTTATTCCTAGAAGTACAGTGAAAAATTACTTTGAAAAACTAACCTCCTAAATTTCCCGCTTCTTAAACATATAATTTTCTTTTTCATTTTTTTTCAAAAAAATGTTTGAAATCTCAATAGAAAGGAGAAGCGAATTTTGGATTGGCGGGTCATTGTTTTGATCAACAGGGATCATATTTCAACATCTATAATTTTTTTAAGAAAAACAAAATTCCTACTAGTAACCATTAAAATTTAGTTAGAGTCAAGAGAGATAAAAAATTCAGACATTTTTAAAAGTGGCTTCATAATTTTATGTGATGATGATTCAAGTTTTTTCTCTACCTACTTCTTTTAAAGTAGTAATATAGTTATTAAAGGTAACAAAAAGCGCTTGTAGTGTAAGATCGTCGAATGGCCTTTTTTTGCTTATCGCCAAAGGAATGACTTTTTTGCTTAATTGTCGTCAAACTGATAGTCACATCTACAACGTTGACCTTTGGATATGGAAAAAGGGAAAATGTAAAAGTTGAGGATAACGAACAGTGATCTATCTTATAATTCATGTTAACAAAACAGAATCGTGAATAAACACGGACCCCTGAAAACATCAGTGGTGGGATTAAGTGCCTAGGATGGGTCACACCCGCCTTGAGCCCATTGATCAGATAGATAGAGTCCTCCGCAGTCATACAATACAATACACAGTCATAGCATAAAAGCTATGCACTAAAAAATGGTATGAGACAATTAAGTCATACAAAATACGAACCAACGATGGGTTGTATTTACAAACAAGGTCATTATAACGACCGTAGGGTTTGTGAACAGCTGACTTGTTGGAGAGGTATACAATAATAAAGTGTCGGATATAGCAAAAGATTTAGTTGAGCGTTCTAAGTCAAATCTTTTAGCAGGTTAATTTACAAATGCTTACATTCTTGAGTTTCTGATTGACAATATCTATGTGGTTTTTGGAGACCAGGTCTTCCAACAATCTATTGGAATTCCCATGGGTACCAATTGCGCCCCGTTATTAGCAGACCTTTTTTGTATTCATATGAAACAGAATTTGTCCAAAATCTTATACGTGAAAAGACGAAAACACATCTGTTTTATATTTGGATATTTTACTTGAAAAAGACGTCAATGGTAATCTAACAACCAAGCTTTATGATAAACGTGATGACTTTAACTTTTCAATCGTCAACTTCCCTTACTTATGCAGCAATATACTTTCATCTCCTGCATACGGGGTTTATATCTCTTAGTTGATTCGACACGCAAGAGCATGCTCTACGTATGTACAATTTCTAGAACGAGGTAAATTATTGACAAACAAGTTGATGAAACGAGAATATCAGCTGTCTCGTTTAAAGTCATCATTTCGTAAGTTCTATGGTCGATACAATGACCTTGTCAGCAAATACAGTTTATCATTAAGTCAAATGCTGACTGACGTTTTTCTTACTAATTGTTAGGCCATTATTTACACACTGAATTGTCGACGGATTTTTCCGTTATTTCCCGATCATGACAAGGAGCACACGGCAGATGTGACCGGTCGGCAGGGGATGCTCACTCCTCCATGGCACCTTATCCCACCTCTGATGTTTTAGAGGTCCCTGTTTGCTCTGCACCTCTTTTGTATTGTTTGATGGACTTTTGAGCTTGAATACTGTTCATAATCTCCATATATTTCATAAGGCCTTTTTTCGTCTAAAATGACTTCAAAATTTCAACTAATATTTCTTTCCTTAAAGACTGCATGAATCAGCAGGCTAATGGTCCATTTGAATGATAAATGTTGTTTGGTTAAAGATGCTATAGTATTTGTTATAATATAAGTTCACAAAGGGATGTACTATCAGTCTATATTAGCATAAGGGCAATAGGAAAACATACGAGGGTGGGTGTGTTTGGCAATTCCTACACATGTCATAACAACCTTTAACCAGCACCAAAATATGCATGCGAACTTTGTAATAACATAAAAAGTGACTATCAACTTATAAACTGTCGCCCGTGTGGCGCAATGGTAAGAACATCTGCTCTAGAGTCGCGGAGTAAGGAGTTGATCCTTACGTTGCGGGTTCGAATCCCACTGTGGGACATGGAGACCGGTCCTTTGGATGAGACCGTATAAACCGAGGTCTCGTGTCGCAGTAGGTGCTGGCACGAAAAAGATCCCTCACTGCTCGATTGGCATGAGTGTCGAACATAGGTCAAAATTTGCAGCTCTCCACCGGCAAGTGGTGGCGTCTCCATATGAGTGAAAAATTCTCGAGAAGGACGTTAAACAACAAACAAACAAAACCAACTCATGAACTTGGTAAAAGGTGGTTATGACATTTAATAAAAACTTTTTGCTTCATTCTAACGATAATTACAGGGAAAGTCTTTTACTCAGAATGAAGGCTTTTAACTTTTAGTTGATAATTTCATATAAGATATGAATATGATAGAGATGCATGAAATGAAAATCGTTGTACGAAAATCAATTTCAAGCTTCATTATGAGACTTTTTAAATTAAATTATAAAATTAAGAGTTATCATTCCTGGCTGAGAAGCTGATTTTGGTATGGTGTTCATGTCCATCCATCTGTCTGTCTGTCAGCTTTTTCATGTCAGACTCATAACTAAATTGCTATGAAGTCTACAATAATCAAACTTTGTCTATTTGTTTAACGTCCTTTTGGAGATTTTTTTCGCTGGTGGACGGCTGCAAATTTAGACCTTTACTAGTCACTCAGGACTATTGAGCAGTAAGGGATCTTTTTTGTGTTAACCCTTCCTACGAGACGAGACCTCGGTTTATACGGTCTAATTCAAAGGATCGGTCTCCACGTCACGTAGTGGGATTCGAACCCGCAAGGTAAGGATAAGTTCTTACTTCGCAACTCTAGAGCATACGATCTAACCAAAGCGCCACGCGGGCGACTTCAAACTTTGTATGCTGATATATCTTGGAAAGAAGTTGTGTTGCACATAAAAAAAATAGGTCACTGTGACTTTAATTTAGAAAATATGGCCAAATACGGCAAGGCCCTGTCCAACTTATAACTGAAAATTACTAGACCTACAATTATCAAACAAGCTTAATTAATGCATCCTAATTGGAGGACGTTTCACACGCAACATTGAGGTCTCTGTGACCTTTAAGGTGATTGTTTTTAATAACCTATGCGTTTAAGTGACATAATTCTTAAAGATGCAGGAGTATTGCAATAACCTTATTCAAAAATGTTGTTTGTTAATTATCATACAATATCTTATGATGTACAATGTTAATCATTAACTGTGTGTGTATATATATGGCTTTTTTTCTTTATTCCTCTCATTTCTTAACTAGCTGTTTCCTGAGGGAATGGTTATACAACAGCTGCAATTGCAACTTCTCAAGACTTCCCACCAAGTGGAAAAACATGAATTCAGATGTGGTTGACTTTCTGATCGCATGTATGTAGACCTAGGCTATTTGGTCTTGCAATCACAGGTGTGTGCACTGTTTGCTAGTGACGCAAGACTGGTGACAGTATTTGATACAAACGGAAGAACTAGTTCCATAACAAGATTTTTTTCTTATAGAGATCAGCTGAGCACAGTAAAAATTCGAGTAAATTAAAAGTCGAATATCTTGGATATGGGGTAACCCATATCTATTCTTGTTTATTACACCATCACGATTATGCCAGCACATAATTGTGCAGAAAATATGACAAATATCCCTGTACTCATTTTTTATTTTTTAAATGTTTGATTTATTAAAGCGTCATGCTTTCTAGTATGTCGTCAAACTCTCACACAGTAAAGTTTGTGATAGTAAGGTGTTCGTTTATCTGTTTGTTTGTCTGTATAAATTTTCAAAATGTTTTAATCCATTGTGTAAGACGTGGCACACAAGCTGGTATGGTGTTGCCAAAGTTACTGAAAAAAAACATCCAATACGCCACTTTCCATACAGATTTGTTTGAATATTTTTTATGAAATATGTAAAGTTTTGATAGAGGTTTATCCATAGGTGCCAATACATCATTATGCAAAATATATTGGTCATTTAAATCAAAGTACCTTAAGTACTGAAAGGATATTTTCTAGTTACTTCTTCCTTTCACAGTAAATATTATATGTATGTTTTTTTACATCCAAAAAAAAAAAAAAAAACAAAACAAAACAAAAAACCAAAAAAAAAAAAAAAAAAAAACCAAAAAAAAAAAAAACCAAAAAAAAAAAAAAAAACAAACAAACAAAACAAACGATTTCTTATAGATTAACAGATCAGAACGGAAGACCTTTTTTGCCATGGCAACAAGAGTCTTGTTATTATTATTATTGTTCGGTTATCTGACTTACATTACACCACTGAATTGAACGTATATATACTAGTATCACATCTGTGAGAGAAATATATGCCGACTCCTGACCAGGCTTGAGACAATGGTTTCTTGTCCTTTTTTTTCTAAAACAATTTTTAAATTGGATGATGAGCTTTACGTTGCAGGTCACCTCTTTTAGGAATAAATATCAAAATCAGAGTGTGATCTAACAACATTAAAAAATTCTAAATAATTTCTATTTAAACTTGACCAGTAAACAAGAGGCTCATTAGCTTTATTGATAATCCGAGTTTCAACTGACTTCAAGTGACATTTTAGCTCACCTCAGCCAATGGCACATGTAAGCTTTTGTGACCGAAAACAGTTTTCCATTTACCTTTTCACATATGCTCGACCTCTCCGGAACCACTGGACTAGTTTCTGTGGAATCCGTATAGGGCCATTTAGTTTACTGTGGCTCCATCGTGCCATCGAGATTTGGGTCGATGGCGCAATAAAACGATTATGCGATGATGCAATGATGAAGTGAACACTCCGGTGTTACTGTTGTAACCTCCTCCTACATTTATCTTTACGGACGGAAATTTGACTGCGGTGTTTTCGAAAACTGACGGGACATTGAACCACCAACTAACTGGTTTTAATGGAGCAGCAAGAAAAACTATGGGATTCGTAATTCCTGAAATCAAAGAATTCATGACTATATACTATTTTTCAATGTTTAATTTTAAACAGGAATGCTACATCTACTTGTAAATTATAAAAACGGGGATTTCAAATTAGTTATTTGTAAAAATAATTTTTTAATCGGTTATTATATACCTTGGAGTTGTGTTTGCAGGATGGTCTGTTTATTTGTGTTTGCATTCACCGTAGATTCTAAAGTCCTAACGGTGTTCGCAAGACTGGTTAGACTTGACTGCAGTTTGGTAAGTTTCTCGTTATTGGAGGTTTCGTTGCGTTTTAGAGTATCTATCATACTATTGTAAACATTTTCCTTTTCTTGGAAGTGTCGCTGAAGGTTGATGATATCAGATTGGTTTGATGCCAAATCACTTAATGATGTCTGTACTTCTCTCAGTTTTCCTAGCACTTCTTGTATTTCCAGACTGTGCCTGTTGTCTAGGTTATTAATGCTCAATAAAGCACCCTTAATTTGAATTGAAATATCTTGGAATTGTTTCGGAGCCCTTTTGTAAACTTGGAGCAGTTTCTGGTCTGTTGAATTCATTTGTTCGATTTCTTGATCGTATTTTATTTGTAGCAGATACCTTTGTCTTTTCTCCTCTGCTAGCTGCTTCTCCAGAGCATCCAATCTCTCTGAAACACTTGGTTGATGAGTCTGATTTCGGTTAATTAGAAGTCCCTTTGCTCCAAGTAAGAATACACTAAAGATAAGTAAATGTGCATCCATGTTGTTCAACTGCCAAAGTAAAATTAAATTGACTCTTCACGTATATGAATTCGAAGAAGGAGACAAGCTAAACTTCGATACTATACGAGATTAAGTTGATTTTTATACCGATTAAAGCCCTATCTTTTTAAAAACATTTGAAGAGTCAGGTAGGAAAGAGTTCATTCCCACGACATCTGACCGTGAATTATCTCGATTTATTAGTTAAGGATTCTCATTTAAAATGCTACTATCTCAAAAGGACCAACTTGATGACAGTTATCTGAAGGGCAAACGGATATAGATAATGTTGGTCAATTTGGTGCTTTTTCAAACATTTCATCTTCACAACCAAGGAATTTATTTTGATAGACCCACTCATTATATTTATGTATTTATTCCAATTTATTCGTACAAAGAACATATTTTTAAGTTTTAAATATAAATTAATTAAGCTGGCAGCTGAATGGATTCGGCCCTTTTTACGCCATCTAAATCAGGGTTTGAAACAAAAATAGTCTAGATATCAGATTTGTATTAAAGGTATCCTCCTCTACAAAATATTATACAACCTGAATTCATGTACTTATTTTTCAGACTTCCAAGTACATGTTGGTAAACTTTACCCGAGTCGAGTACCATGAGGACCAAGTCGAATGCCGAGTTTAACAACATAGTACATTTTTACAGAGAAATTAAACTCTGTGTATCTATCTTTTTCATCACAACTCTAGTACGTTTCTTTCCATTTTAATCAAGATAATGATAATTAATAACGACTGGTCAATTTTGTACTGGCCTAGATATGATAATATATCCTCAGGGTCTATATACCTGTTTTCAACAAGTCAGGTGACGGTCCTCAGTGAGGTGTTTTTAAGCATAAGTAGGTTCATTCTTACATATTCAAAATCCCTTCCTCTGTGTATGAAGACAGTCAAGACAGTTTCTATCGGATTTAAATCAGGAAATCAGGAGTCTTTTTGGACATATGTGATGATTTGTTTTTAGATCCGAACAATGGTTTCCGGGTGCTATTTCTCAAAAAAAAAATATATATATATATATATAAATAAATAAATAATAAAAATAAATAAATAAATAAATGATAATTCTACATAAAAAAGGTAAATGTTTAGAATGCCTCTGCTTATGACAGAAGCAGGAAAGTTTTACACACAACTTCAGCAATATAGGACTGCAACGTACGTCTTGGTGGATTTCAAATTTTACAAATCGTTTTGATTTTTCGCTGTGTCCTCTTAGAAGGCAAGATAGTGAGTCAACTTTTTTTTGCACTACCAGGTGGCACAGCATAAAATCCTAAATAGTCAATCAATAAAACCTGCTTAAATTTTGTTTTAATTTTGGCCAAAGTAGTTTAAAAAGTCAGAGAGAGAGAGAGAGAGAGAGAGAGAGAGAGAGAGAGAGAGAGAGAGAGATGTTTTTAAAAAATAAAATCCGTAGATATTAATGACAGTTTAGCACCCCAGGTCCTTCATTCATTATTTAGTGAGCTTGACTCTTGTCCATGACTGTAACTTATCATTCATAATGATATTTTTAATACATATGCACACAATGACATAGACACTCCACCATGAGGCTTCTGTTTCAGGATTACCAAGTAACGTGTATTTGGTATCAACAAAAATCTTTGTTCAGACATGTACTAATACGGAAGCCCGTTCAGGCCAATTCAGAGAAAGAAATATTTTTTATTGCGTTTAAACGCAATAATTATTGCGTTTAATCGCAAAACATTGCGTTTAATCGCAATAATCATTGCGTTTAAACGCAAAAGATTGCGTTTAATCGCAATGTATATTGCGTTTAAACGCAAAACACTTTGCGTTTAATCGCAAAAGATTGCGATTAAACGCAATCTTTTGCGTTTAAATGCAATACTTTTGCGATTAAACGCAATAATTTTTGCGTTTAATCGCAATGATATTTTTGCGTTTAAACGCAATAATTTTTGCGATTAAACGCAATACTTTTGCGATTAAACGCAATACTTTTGCGTTTAATCGCAATACTTTTTGCGTTTAAACGCAATACTTTTGCGTTTAAACGCAATAAATTTTGCGTTTAATCGCAATAATTTTTGCGTTTAAGCGCAATAATTTTTGCGTTTAAGCGCAATAATCATTGCGTTCAAAGGCATTAATCTTTGTGTTTAAAGGCAGTCATTTGTATCAAACCTTGCAGAGAACAATGGACCCACGCATACTTATATCTTTTATATTTTTCTCTTTTTACTTATTAGGAAATTGTGTGTTGTCTTTATAGAATCAGATTTCTCCGAGCAAACACTCTCTGAAAGGTAAATCACTAATAAGAATTTATAGAGGAGAAAAAAAGGTCGGGTTGTAAAAACAAAGGAATCGTAAGAACGAGACATGTCTTAAGCTTATTCTCTACATTTTTAATGAAGTTTCGGTCAGTTGTTCTGCTAAAAAAACTGTTCCATACGTTGCAGTCACATGTTTAATCATGTATAAGGGGATTTTTGGAAAGGACTGAGGAAATGTTGGAATTACGTACAACATGATGAAGTATTTAGACTTCAATGTACACTCATAATCCTTCCTATAGTTGCATACAGTAAACACAAGAACATATGTGATGGATTTTTATATGAGGTCAAAATCAAAATCAAATGAAAACAGATTGATCGATGTGTACTACATGTATCAAATTAACAAGTGCTATTAATACCACTGAAACTTTCTCTATAAGTTGTGATACACGTAAGCAATTGATCAGAGACTTCATTAAGAGTTTTGGGTTCTAATACATTTAAGACATTCAGGTTGTTAGGATGCCATTGTTTTATTACAATTTTCAAAAACTGGAAAATTTTGCAAAAAGACACAGAACAAATCGGATCTTCTCAAAGTTGAAGTGTCGGGTCCTAGTACATGTAATTATAAGCTTTGACTAATTCATGTTTGATTTTGAAACTACAGTATCATTGTGTTTAAATGCAAAACAAATCCTTATAAGGAAGGATTATTGCGTTTAAACGCAAAGATTATTGCGTTTAATCGCAAATTTATTGCGTTTAATCGCAATACTATTGTGTTTAATCGCAAAAGTATTGCGTTTAAGCAAAAATTATTGCGTTTAATCGCAAAAATTATTGCGTTTAAACGCAAAAAATATTGCGTTTAAACGCAAAAATATTATTGCATTTAAACGCAAAAAGTATTGCGTTTAATCGCAAAAGTATTGCGTTTAAACGCAAAAGATTGCGTTTAATCGCAATCTTTTGCGTTTAAACGCAAAGTGTTTTGCGTTTAAACGCAATATTGCGATTAATCGCAATCTTTTGCGTTTAAACGCAATAATTATTGCGTTTAAACGCAATAAAAAATATTTCTTTCTCTGAACTGGCCTCAACGGGCTTCCATATACTAATGCATATATTTAAATGTTATTAAGCATTTAATTTTTTTATACGCCTACTAAAAAAACATATCACATATATTTTAGAATTCTCTCCAAAATTATATTGTTCACACATTTACTCCGAAAAGTAATACCGGTATTTGCACAATTTTTGTCAATTTTCAAAAAAAAAAAAAAAAAAAAAAAAAAATTAAATTAAAAAAAAATTCTCATTACTTGTAGTTTCATGAAATATATGGATATAACGAACAGTATTCAAGCTCAAAAGTCCATTAAACAATACAAAATAGGAGCAGAGCAAACACGGACCTCCAAACATCAGAGGTGGGATCAGGTGCCATGGAAGAGTGAGCATCCCCTGCCGACCGGTCACACACGCCGTGTGCTCCTTGTCATGATCGGGAAATAACGGAAAAATCCGTCGACAATTCAGTGTGTAAATAATAGTATGAAAAACGTCAGTCAGCATTTGACTTAATGATAAATTGTATTTGCTGACAAGGTCATTGTATCGACCATAGACCTTACGAAATGATGACTTTAAACGAGACAGCTGATATTCTCGTTTCATCAACTTGTTTGTCAATAATTTAACACGTTTTAGAAATTGTACATACGTAGAGCATGCTCTTGCGTATCGAATCAACTAAGAGATATATACCCCGTAAGCAGGTGATGAAGGTATATTGCTGCATAAGTAAGGAAAGTTGACTATCGAAAAGTTAAAGTCATCACGTTTATCATAAAGCTTGGATGTTAGATTACCATTAACGTCTTTTTCAAGTAAAATATCCAAATATGAAACAGATGTGTCACACTCTGTGGTATCTTTTATCTCAAGCTCACCAGGATATATCGTATCGACATAAGAATGGAAATAGCCATTGTTAATTGACAATACGTCGTCGATATATCTAAATGGGGAGTCGAAGGCCACAGCAAGTGTTTTCTTCTTTTCACGTACAAGATTTTGGACAAATCCTGCTTCATATGAATACAAAAAAAGGTCTGCTAATAACGGGGCGCAATTGGTACCCGTAGGAATTCCAATAGATTGTTGGAAGACCTGGTCTCCGAAAACCACATAGATATTGTCATTTGATGAATGAAATGCTTCTTTGTACATGTATATTGTATTGCATATACATGTATTATGTTTTCAAATCTTTCAAATTTGATTTCATGTAATTTGCAGTTAAGTTATGTTGTCAAATTTATTAATTGATTAATTCTTTTTTTTCACAATTTATCTGACACTCATTAACTGAATAAAATTGTGAAACTGACTTTATGGTAAGTACAAGGACATGAGTAAACACATTAATAAATTCAAAGAAAAAAAGACCGTTCAATCCTCACAATACCAATTACCTAAGTTTTCAAATTATTTCTCTTACAATCTTATTTCTGTACCGAGTAGGATTACTTTACGCCGCGATGAAATCAAACGTAATCCAGATAAAATTCCAATTTAATTGTCAAATAATACATCAAAATGAACTTATAAAAATCATTGAACATTGTTTAAATCAAGTAATATCGTAAATACAATGAATTAGGGACTTAATGAATTATAGCAGTTTTCAAAGATTCGTCCTTGTCTTTAAAGACAAACGCTGTAAAACAAAA